TATGCCCAACAAATTGAAGAAGCCCATGTGGACGCGACTTACAAAACAGCTAAAGGTCGCTTCGAATTATATGGCGTTGTCGGAGAAATCAATGGAAGTGGATTTCCTCTTGCGTACTGTTTAACGGATACGAGTAGACATTTGGGTAATAATGAGTCCATTCGGACACAATTACTCATAGAATTCTTCCAGGCGCTTAGGAATCAAAGCCTAATACCAAAGTTTATTTTTACCGATAAAGACTTTGCTGAAATCAATGCTGCACAATTAGTGTGGAGATACTCACAAACAAGGCTGTGTTTATGGCACATAAAAAGAGCAATTCTAACTCGGTTACGAAGCAAAAAGGAACAGCAAAGGTTTGCATATATTAAAGAGAGTAACCTTAAACGATTCCCTTTATCGATCCAACATTTCGACCAATACCTGGAAGCACATCATTATTTTGTCCCGTATTCTTACACAAGTCAGTTGTAACTCTGATAGAAAGACATTTTAATCTGCATCCATTGATGCCAATTGATGTGAGTGGTGGTTCTTTGACGCCTGATCAAATTCACTACAATTCAACAAAAAAATTCTATGATTTTTGCAGATTAAATAATCTTTCAGCATTATGGCTTTACCTATTTTCATGTTGGTATTCTCTCTGGGCTCGCTCATGTCACCCACAAATACCTTTCAGCAAAACAACGATGATGATTGAAGCACATTGGAAAGTTCTAAAACGTGATTACCTGTATCGCTTCAACTAACCGCGTTTGGATTATGTAATCTATATCATATGCGAGCATCTTCTTTCGCAGCAGAAGAATCGGCTTCTACAATTACTAAACGGCCGTCAATACCCACATTGGTGGGAAGAATTTAAAAGGAAATAGAACAATAGAACAAAGATATTTTTCTACTATCTCTGGGGAAAAGTATTATACATCAGATGCTTCATGGGTATGTAGTTGTCCCAATTTTCTGCAAAACCGATTTCTGTTGTGTAAACATTTGGTAATTACTGCTAGCGGGTGTTCCAAACGGTTAATCTACAATGAAATCAGAAGAGGCAGGGAACGTCCATTTATTAGATTTGTAAAAGACGATCATAGAGAATCGGAACAAGAGTAATGAAAATAGTATGGATATGCTTCGATTAGAGCAAGTAACCAATAAAAATTATATAGATTCGGTTCACTTGCAAGAACCCATTGACAACGCCACAGTTTCCGAATCTCCCGAGATCGATGTTGAGCAGCTACGGCACGAGATCCAAACGCGAAAAGAATTTTTAGATCATTTAACGGCAGAATTTGAACAGAAAAATTACCAGCATGTCCAAGCGCTACTAAATAATACAAAACGGATTAATGATATTATGGGTGACATCCAGGTAGCAAGAGAAAAACGTAAGCGAGCTAGAACATGGAAAGATTTTAAACCGTGGACAATGTTTTTAAAATAAATAAAGAATGAGAATAAGATTAGCTGCTATGCATGGTGTGAGAAGCTATGTAGTTTTTCAACTCATTACGTGACTTGCAGTTACGTATAATAATAAGAAAATTGTCCTTCCAAAATAGTAGCGAGGGGACGGCAATTCCGCAAGGCAATTTCTGGAAATGATCTACGGATCAGCGGCGGAATTCGCTGTGTGAGTTATTAAAACGCGTTGCACATTAATATAAAATCGTACTTTTATTGATGAGATCCCGTTCACCATTTTTTCATTAATTGCTTCGCACCTCTTTCGCATCGACTTTACTAAATTTCTTAAGACATCGTGGGTAGTGGCCTGGTGGTTCAATTGCTGGTTTATTAGGCTTATTCTCCTCAGAAAGAACGGAAAAATGATCAACTTTTCGTTTTTGAATAGTTCCTCACAGTCAATATTAGCATAATCTACTAAAACCAAAAGAGTTTTGATTGGTGAATGAAAATAAGTAAAAATATTATCTCGGGAAAGAATTCGATACTTTTCTAATTGATTTAAACTAACTTTCTCCCATTCCTCAACCATAAAACGCTTTTATTCACCGGCTGTTTCGAGGCGTTCTCTTTCCACCCTGGCTTAACAATAGTCCAGAGGTGTTGAGCTCAGGACTGTTACTCGGCTGGTCAATAATGGCGTTGTTCTTTTTTTGATAGTATTTGATACAGAAAGCTACGTACGCGTATTTTGTTATGTCGATTTTTTGTAACACCTATCGCGAGGAACAACAAGGTGCTCGCTAAAGCGCCAGTCTACATTACAAGCAGAGAAAGCCCAAGTCGAAGGTTATTGAGGGTGGGTTATAGCACAAATGTACCACCGCATTCACAGACAGAGATCACGTTAAGCACAATATGCGAACGCCTTGCGCTTGTAGCATTACACCGCTTCTCCTTCGTAAACTTTCATTCATGCCAACTTATAATTCGTTCGTGTTATTATTATGAAAAAATTAGAGAAAGCCCCCGGAGTTGATGGGCAAAGCAAGGAATGAATTTATTAATGTAATCACTGGATATGAGGAAACATCAGAACATATGTTTCCAAGTGTGTGAAAGGCTCGCATTGTGATGAGAGAGTATGGATCAGAGATACTGGCAGACGAATCCAGATAGATGCTTTCTTTAATTGTCGTTACGTTTCAAGAAATTTCTTATCCGTCTGTTAACTTAACAAAGATTAAGATAAGCTTCACGATTCTTTCCAGCATATTTTTCCTTGTTTCATTGATGTCATCAAAACTATTTATATTGTTGTGATGCAAGTGGTTGGCTTTCATGTTGTGTATTTCGCAGTGAACTGGAAAGCTTTTTTAGCATGTGCAAACACATCTCTGGTACTTGCTTTTTCTCCTAGTCTATTAAAGCATAGTATAGTTTTTTTTTATCAAGGACATTCACTTGTTTTCTGATAAATATGAATATACCCCCGGGACACAATATTAATACAGCATCTAATTAATCATATAGGATATATGCATTATGCGGTTTGAAAGCTATTAATAAAAACCTCTGAATTCTTTACGACTGGTGGGCTGATCAAAACCTCTATATATGTAAGCGTCGAGAGATTCATCTTGTACTCTCGTGACCACCTCGATAAGTTTAATCTGTTAAAAGATTGTTGCTTCAGGATATTCTAGACATCGTCCAGTCCACTTACAGGGGTTGTAAAGAGTCATTTAATTTATTATTGTTGTTAACTTCATTTTTTAGAGCGTCTAGATGTTGTATTGTACTCGTGTTATCAGGCATATCCCCGTGAAGTTTACGCTATAAAATAAGACATGGTTAATAAACGGCCACATAATATGTATAATGATGTACAAATGAACCTCACCATCCGATTCGTCTTCCCGATACCAAGCCTAATCAATTCATGTGAGCATAATGTCAATAATATCCCATGAAAAAATAACAGATTGCGCAATGAATTGGTGATACGCTTACTTTGGAAGTCCCCGATTGAGTCCCTCTAACAAGACGCACGCCTTGCATAGTTCGTTCGATGACATGTATCCGCAACGTTTACACGTGCCTTGAACTGGGAGTTTGACATCTTGTTTGATTTGAAAAGCTTCACCAGAATGTATAATGTCTAGACAGAGAATGTGTTGGAAATTACTTTTTGTTCATGGGGCACGCGTTTACAAATACGAGTTGCAATATGGCAGGTATGGCTTACCTATTATAGTACTCGGCCTTATCGATTCTAAATCCTTTAGAAACGTTCGTGCATATCCTCTGTAGGCGTTTGGCGAGTACACACATTCCGTCGAAAAGTAGTCCAACTTTTTAAAATATGCATACCTATACACGAAAAAGAAATCGTTAAAAATCAGACAAAGTTGCGTAAATCATTCACACGGACAAATCATTTCTGAATTCGACACGTTTTTTGACATTACATGACAATTTCCTTCTCGTATGTATACTTGAACGGTTTCGATCTCTTTATACGTTCATCGCCGGTTGTCACTATCTCGGTACACCTCTGAAGACGCGCGATATCTCCGCGAAGGACTATAAAAGGTAAAAACATTTGTGTTTGAATAGATCCCGACTGTTGCCAAAAACTCGATTTTTTTTTTATCTCGTATCAATACGCGCTTACATAACGTTACGTACTGTTCATGAGAACCGTTTCGGCGATATCGTCTGCATTGTGTCCAGTAATTATGTGATCGACGTTAAGCAACATTGCTCCACGGTCAAGTGCTTGACGGCGAAAGACCCCGCAAAATGTACCTAGGTATCGAAAAGAGTTTTAGAATGTGATTTCGATCACCAGCCATTCGATACAAGTTACATGCAGGTATTTACAATTGTTCTTTAGCCCAACTTCTTTAACAATCTCATCCATGGACCATCCATACAATTGACGGTATGACACTATTTCGAGCGGAAGATCGTATTGTTGCTGATTCCGCTTGACCGTCTAATGGGTAATTTAGAGTGAGAATGATGAAAAGTAGCAGAAAGCAAAAAACCCAATATGGAGTTTTAGCAACGTTCACCTCTAACGAATCGTCTCGATAACCAGTTATCCCCTCGTCAACAGACAACAGAAACAGATTCAATCCATAGTTGTATCTATTATTCAATAGCTTTATTACGTATGCTAACACGGTCGAATCTGAATAGAAAAAAGTTCGCACAGCTCAATTAATCCTAGATCAAGCCATTTCAGAAACGAAAAGTAAATTATTTTCTCTTTCTCCTTCTCGTTTCAACTAACGACCCATATCGATATACGCAAATTCATACCTTTTCCGCCCGACGCAGCAATAGCGATTCTATCCCCAGGCTTAAACAATTTATTGTCTATAATGGTATGATGAATTTCAGTCTCAAACACATGATAGAAACATTCTTTGCATATTTGCTGAGAAGTTTTGGGTCGTTTCAAAATGGCCTTATTTCTATTACAAAGAACGCAAATCTTCATTATTAAATATTTGGAGAGCTTTTTGACAAAAGTTCCCCTTTTATAATTTTTGCACGTGTTATGTATCACGTGTGCTGAATAACGCCGTCAACACTATGTTAAAACCTTTGCCCCCGTTTAATTTATTTTCGAAATACTTTATTAGTTATTCACGTAATTTTTTTTTACCAAAAAACGAATTTAAATGGTTAAAAAAAAAGGGTCAGTTATCATAACATAGAGACGTTGGCACTCAAGTGCGCAACATTGAATCAGCTATAAACGAAAAACTAAAGTAATCTTAAAATCGAAAAATTGGTTCAATTGTTATTCTGAGGCTTGAATATTGAAAGTTAATAAAGTGGGAGAAAGAATGAAAAAAGAAAAAGTAAATAACAATATTTATGCAAGAGTTTGTATTTAAATTTTAAGGGCCTAATTGCACACTAAATATGCAATGAGTAAATATATTACAATGCCCTTTGCCAGACTTACATGCTGACTGTATCGCACATTTATTTGCAAACCTGTTTATCAACTGTTTGGCATCGGATTGTAATATATACCATTTGATGAAAGATCCTCTGCATTAGTTATGCAACTTGTCGAAGCATTTGTGATCGATGGTGGTGGTGGCGGCGGTGGTGGTACACCACAGTTGTATAATTCTTCATACTTGCAATGCATTCCATTTACATTATTTGGTACGGTTGCAGGCACGTATCCGTGAAAAGAATTTGCCTCGACGTATATGGCGTCAGTGCCCGAATATGGTTTCGGAAACGTGTAAAATACGTATGGCTGTTGTTCTTGTGATAGTGACGGTTGTGCTTGTGATAGTGACGGTTGTTCTTGTGGTAGGGGTGGTTGATAGACAGTCGTCGAGCCAGACGGAGACATGGATGTATACATATTGGGAGGAGAAAATGTCGTCGACATTGGAGGTTGAGGTGAAAATGAGGATGGTACAATTGGAGGAGAAAAGGACGTGGTCGAAGCAAATGAAAAATGTTGTGGAGATGGTATAGTCAGAGCAGAGTTTGTATGCGGATGCGGTAACGCCGAATGTGGATTAGCGCTGCTGCTGTTGTTGTTGCTGCTGCTGCTGCTGTTGTTGACATGCAACCAATTGTTTACAGATTTGTAGTTAGGATATGGGTCAGGTTTTGAGTTACGTGACGCAGCAAACATGACTTCTGCTATAGCGGCCAGTCTAGGATCGATCTGTTTGCCGTTGTTGCCGTTGCCGTTGTTGCCGCTGTTACGTAATTTATGTTTTATTGACGGTGAATTTTTGCTGCCGGTATTTGCGTCGGTATCGTCATTACCATCGACATCGCTTACGAATTTAAGTTCCGTTACCGTTTCACGGCAAGCTTGTTCGTTTTTTTTGATCTTCTTGTTGTTTGTCTTGCGAGGATTGGACTTTTTCGGCTGATACACATAATTCGGGTACTCTTTCATGTGACGAAGCTTTTCTCTGTCGGCAATTTTTTCCCACTTGAACCTGACCTCTTCCGATTCTTTCCACCACAGCATAGAGACTATTTTAGAGACCTGGGCGTTTGTTAGATCCTTGTATTTGGCCATGACGTCTTTTTGCTTAAATTTTCTGTAGAGAATAAATGCGTTAGGTGGACGTGGTATGCGCATTAGTTTGGCATATCGATGACGCCTACGACATCTTCTGTGAACGGTTGCGGGATGATCAGTATCGGGAAGAGTATTGTGGGTCGTTGTTGGCGGAGTATCGAACATGATTAGGCCACAATAATGATTTTGTTCCATGTTTGAAGTGGGGTAAGATGAGCCCAAGCGCCCAACTGGGGGGCTTTATATGTTGGTTAAAATTGATGTATTAAACAAGTAGTATTTAATATAACAATCGTAGAAAGAAAGAGGACAATAATTGATTCAATTACAATACATCAGCAATTGCATACTACAATAAAGCATTGCGCGTATTATATTAGTAGAATCAAAGTAGTTTTTATTATACATGTATACGCATAATAAGTGTCTCCAACGTTTAGATAAATACCTATTTCTATGCAAATAGAACGCACATTTTGATCCCAATTCGGGAGGTTCTATTTAATATGAACACGGACATGTATTAAATTATAATAATTTCAAAAGACCAATGAATGGTTGGGGGGTTGACAACAAAGAACAGTCACGCAACTAACAGCTTAATCGATTATCCTATCAAAGACGCGCACTAGGACAAATAAAGACAGGAATGAAAAATCGACGGTTACAATGGATGTTGGGAATAAGATTTATGCGTACCATAAGTACATTATTTTATGCATTAACTTTATTTTGATGACTTTTCTCACGAGGCACAGACAGTACATATCCTGACAAGCGATCGGTTTCTCTGAACAGGTGGGAAAACAAGTTGGCAATTAATTGATCGACTGCGTGTTGTCCTTTGAAATAGAAGAGTGCTAATTACGACCAAGCGTACCAAATTAATACAGAATTACGAGAAAAAGAACTTGATTACCGAATATCTTTGTGTTATTTATAGTAGTCATGGCTTATTTGAAACATTGCGCAATTTCAGTATATCCAACAATCGAATTGTTGACCACATGTTAATTGTTTACAAGGGATGCAGCATCATGTATCTTTCTGCAAATCCGGTGTGGTTACTCATATTGTCAAACACATTAATCGTAAATGTATCTATCGATCATTCATGTTGGCGATGATGTCTGTAATAAATATCATGAATATCATGAATATCATAAACCTTATTATGATACTCGAATAAGACATTGATAAGTAACAAAATTAATGGCAATAACGTGGATGAGGAAAGACGTTGTCTGCAATACGAACGTTCGACATGCTTCCATTGAATGCCGAAAACTTAATTTAACGGGATCACCAAATGCCCCGATTGCATCTGTGCAACTTTCTAGCATCAGAAATAACTCCAAACGGTACATATTTTGCAGTTCCCATGCACATGCCGTAACACTGCCCCACAGACAATATATTTTGGTAACATGTATACCGGAGAAAAAAAAAATTTTATTTTTCCTACGAATATTACATAAATTAGTGTTTTTAGAACAAGGGACTAGAATATCACCCCCGAGGATATAGAATATAAATATTACACATGTACTCTTTGCCGTGAACATTGTTGTCTGTATCCATGATATCAATTTGTCATTTCCTACAAAGAAGACAAACCATAAGTACGTATTTTTGAACGTGCAGATGTGAGAATACGAATGTACAAGCGTGCAGATATGCAGTGGAGCAAGAAAATGCATACGTTATTTCAGCATTCTACCAATGTCATGGATCGATAATCTTAGGAGTGTATGGAAATTGACTTTTAAAGACGAGAATACGTCAAACGATGATCATTCTACTTCTCGTTTTATTCACAAATAATACATTCTCTTTTGCCAAGTTTTTTTTTTGCTTGCACATATTCTTTAGATCATATATTTGGCTATTGTGGTTGGTGCTTGTTATGTCAAAGAAAGTGAGTTTCATAATAATTTGGTATGTCAGTGTATTTTCATTGTTTAAGTAAAATCTATAGTAACAGTAAATTTATAATACTAAATTTATGTATGTTTGACATGTAACTAACATTTACTGCGCAGCTAACGAACGGGAAGGAGTACTTTCGATAACCGTATCAATTTACTGGTAAAAGTTTGTCACATAAGTAATTATAATACAGTAATTGCTCATTATACTATCTTATGTCTTTGTCTTGACTTTCAACTATGCCATAGATATGCCATACTTGTTAAGATACAATTATTATTTGCGAGAACAATATTTAATATGCCGAGTGGTGGGAGTATTATGGTGAACGTCAAATTAATAACACGGGGCAACAATGAATAATAATATAAAAAAATATGCATGCAAGAATATGTCGCCAGTACAGATCGAAATATTGGTAAGTTAAAGTATAATGTCATTGGTATGTATAATCTATTTTTATCAATTACACTGTATGTCTGCAACGTTTTAGTAAATATATGAAACTAACTTTAACACTAAGTCGCTTGCTTGGGAACCATTCAAACATACTTTGATCCTGTCCCCCATCCATTTCATCGATTGTTGCCGAATATTACTTCACACGCCCAGTACTCACATATGTGGTAATGTATACTTTATTTATATTTATAACAATAGAACTATATGAAGATTTGTGTGGCGGTGGGTGATACTACTGAAAGAAAGCAATGGAACAAGAACGAGAACAAAGGCCATGAGAATCTGTAAAAAATTAGCAAGTACGTAAACAGAAGACAGAAGACCAGGTCTGTCTCGTCATACAGACTGTATTGATCAATATTTGATTGTATGGATGTGAGTTGATATATATGGTTTAAACAAGCAGCTTGAGGCTGTGTCGAGATATCAATGTAGACAGTCAACTATTGTAGTTATGATGTTATATTGCACATGCGATGATGTAATTACAGTCATGTAATGACACATGACAATAATCTTTCGATTTATTTTGCGCGTTCGTCGGCCATGACATTATCACATGACATTAAACAATCCAATTAAATCGAGTGATCAAAAAAGGTTAACATCTCCGCCAACAGGAATAATGAAACGTACAATTGTCAGGCATGTATTTCAAATATTCTTCAAATAACACGCGCAGTATATTATATACAGTTCGGATTGTGGGTAGAAATAAATTCACACAGATCCAGCATGCTATACACTTTGCCGTAGTGATTATTGTCCAAATATGTTATAAGCATAATGTATTTGAACATTAACAAAATAATAAAAGTAACTCTGTAAAGACTAAAGTAACATTTATTTTCGGGCTTATCTATACATCTTTCATCATAAACAAGGAAAGACTGGTTTTCCACGTCAAGAGTCCCGAAATATCAATTACATTTTACTAACATGAAAATCATTAGATTTAATGTAAAAATGCTAAAAAATGGCAACTGCTTTACTCTCACTTCCAAACTAAACCCGTTTTGCGTTTTCAATTTTTACCGGAGCAAGCCCAAATAGTTCGTCAATTCATAAATAATCTGACTCTGCAGTTTGCTTTTGCTAGTTCTTATTACTTTCACACTTAAAGTAATTCGTAATAAAAGGCGAATGCGCCATGATAATCCGGAATGCATGTGCGAATAAACGACATGATTATTTGGCATTGTAACAAAATGTCCATTACATATAATCAACAGTTTTGTTCTTACTTCAACTTTCAGTCGGCATGTGACATGACGATCATCGAGCCACTCATTATTCCAGCCAATAGAAAACCAGATCTCGTTTTGGTCAACTGAAACGCGTATTTCAGTATTTCTATTCATCTTTTTTCATTCTATTTCAAAACGTATAATCCCTTTACTTTAATATTAGCTTAACTATGGAGGCAATGATGGCAGAGTTCAATAGAAAGTTACAAGACCTCAGAACATCGCTGCTGCTACGTGTAGACGGTAATTATCCTACTGTTCACGTCTCCTCTGTTACTCGTAAGAACCCACACTCACTGTTCAGTTCTTTTCCATATGAAAGAACCGAATGAAGAAATGAATTTGATACTTTTGAATATGCACAACATACTAGGCGAACTTGAAAATCATGTATCTTACATGTCGTCGTTTCTGTCTGAGGAAAGGGTTTCTATTGATCTTGCTCAGGTATGTGTTGATATTGCATTGTTACGATCATGTTTAAGCGCCAGATTGAAGTTGTGTATATATTATGTAGGACATTACATATAGATTGAAAGCACAGTACAGATGTCTTGAACGTATACAAAGCAATCTACCTAAACATCTGCCCGGGACTGCGGATGCGGCTATCAGACAAGCTCTGACAGAGAATCAGTTTTCAGAATCACAATCGCAATCGCAATCACAAACGCAGTCGAAATTGCAAACACAGAAAAAACAGAAATCAGGGTACTTATTGAATCTTTGACCTTATGAATTCACGCAACCGAACGCAGATTCACTAACAGATGCATTCAAGTGTCAAGAGCAAGAGATTACAGAAACCCGTTACCAAGACCACGAAAAGAACACAAGAAAATGACGACTCGGACCGATTACCCAAAGTATCGTATGTGACAATATCAGAGTTTGAGAATGTCCCAAAGTAATATCATATAATCATTGTTTCTGTGGGTTGACCATATTCTGTGTTCCGACTCTTAATATGGCTATTTCTTTTTGTTTTGCATCGCAGATACATTGTGAAAAGGTTAACGCGTGAGAAAATAAACGAAGCCATAGACGATATCAACAAAGTCTTTGGTGAAAAGTATCGGATACTCAGAATGAGTCCGAGTTCCATGTCTCAGAATATGAAAGCTCGATATTGGGTAAATAACTACAGTGTTTTTGACATGGTTATTTGCCATCTTACTTATTCTGCGATTATGTGTTTGGAACTTGCAGGAATACAAGGAATCATACATTGATGAAACCAAGGGTACTTACATCATCCATATTTATTGATGCTTAACAACTGCATAATATTATACCACACGTACTCATCCAACGAATTACTGACACGCGTCCATCATGCAGAACGACCGTATATAACAGAAAAAGATTTAAAGTCATCAAACGTTCGAATAAAATTCAAACCAGACATTGCTGGCAAAACCGTCTTGGCACTGTTAAGACACATTGGAAGGATAAAGGAGATAAGAGGCGGCGGATATACGCGATATGTGTTGACTGGATGATTAGACTTGAATAATTATAAAGCGGACGAGAAGGTAAGGCCAGTAGGGAGAGGGGGAGGGGGAGGGGGGGTATAATGGATTTGCAAGAGTTTAGGTTGAGTAATGTTAATATTGTGTTTAATAAATCAATGAGTCATCCGAGAATGAGACGTATCACTCAAAGCAGCGAATTGCAAAAATGAAAAGGAATACGTCAATAATGACGCACATTGTGACAAACGTGTTGAACTGTTATCTCTGGTAACATTAACTGTCGCAATATAAGCATATAGCAAGGAATGTATAGTTTAAATAACTCCAGCCAAGATTGAGCGTTCAAGCACATTAATGATAATCAACTTTTATTCACATTAATTTTGATACAAATATTAGAAACAATAACATAATATATCGTAAACCAAAGAGTCCGTTCCATATTAATGGGTTTCCTTGTCCTTCACGATAATAACTGTACAGTCACAGTTATGACTACAATAGTCACTAACCGAGCCGAGAATGGTTCTACACGAGCGCATAAAAAGAGAATTAGGGAAGTGTAACAAACCAAATGTTGAATGTTTAACCATACATTCGGATGTCTTACCGCTTGAATACACCAAGACCACGGGAACCAATAACAAGTGCATCCGCTTTGAGTTCGGTTACTTTACGAACCAGTTCATCTCGTGCATCACCTCGCATGGCTATTGCTTTACATTCAAACTGATACGTATAACGATAAAATTAGTTGCAATACATGTAATCACTCAAGTCACAAACCACAAAAAAATAAATAAATACTTACACCCTGAGCCTTTAACTTGCTGGCAAAGTCTTTCAATAGTGAATGACTGTTTGCTCGATACTATTTTTAAAAAGGATTTGACAATTAGCCAATAATTCTCCGTCACATCTAATCGACCCATTTAACAACATCTCCCCGTCAAATCTTACCTGCTCTTCGAGATTACTGACTACTTCGCTAAAGTCCATGTAAGCCGCACCAATAGCTATAAAAAGACGCGAAATGCATGTTGATAAATATTCATGTACGGAGACTAATATACAGGATGCAAATGGTTTTTACCGGCTGGCTCACCATATGGTCCCGGAACTGTCGGGACTGGACGTACGTTTACTAGAACGACCTTGGGAAACGATGGGGGAGAATGATAAAAATTATTAAGATTACGTCGATTAAAACCATGCGACTTATCAACGTGTATGCAACTTTGTCTCTACCTTGTCACCCTTTTTTCTGAGAAAGTTTTTTACCGCCCAATCGAACGCATGATGTGAATGTGTAGAATGATCGATTGCAATGATAATTACACGACTATCAGGGTCGTTCGTACTTTCATTAACGGTATTTACAAGTTCTGTATCGTGGTACTCGGTTTGAGTTGCTGTTACTTCTGCCATTGTATTTTAACTTTTTAGAAAATGATGATTTGAAAGTTTTCTTGCTTGACACTTTGGACTTTCTCTGCGTTTTATTTATACAGTTCCCAGGGTGATGTCATGTCATATGTTTGTGTAGCATACTCAATGTTTAAAATCATGCCACTCTGTAAATTGTAACTCACGCCATCCAAATGATGTCACCGTAACACATCACACGATTTATTATTGGACAACGGTATCTTGCGTGATATATAATTCCGAAAGAGATTCAGTTCCCACGATTTTAAGATTCTTTTCGTTTGCCAAATGGAGAAGGCAAATGAAACAAAAGGACACAGAGATATCTTTCACCTTGCGATCGGAATAATTCTTTTTCACGTTTTGAATTACTGACGTAAAATTCGTCTCACATTGTACAGAATTCGTCTAGAAAGGCAAGTGACAATACGTCAGAAATAAATATAAGAATAATGTTTCGGATAAACAAATGCCGAAGGTCGGTAAGATGGAACGCGCCAGGTCCGTCGTAACGCAGAACCTCGAAGCCATCCAATCCAATTCACTTGACAAAATCTCATACTGACCTCGCCTGCGTTGTCTTCATTAACCAATGTCTTCCAAATATTTTCCTTTAATTTTTTAACGTCAACTCTCTTCGCCGTCTTTGCATAATTGACAAATTCGGGCCGCACTCGTGATGCCTGTTCACCGATACAATCATCAAAGTCAAACCAATCGTCATCATTGTCGGCATCAACGGCATTCGTGGCATTGGTTCCCCTAAAGAATCCAGCATCGCTAAACTGATCGTCTGCGTGTGTGGCCCAAAACTCGGCTGATACATCTGGAGCTGAATCGTCCCCAAACTCTGGAATCTGATCTTTTAACGAGTATGTGAAGTGTAGATGATTAGCATAAACCAGGATAACGGTTAAGTTAAATGACACACATGGGACTATATGAATTGTCGTTGTTGCTTACCATTCGGTCTATCTTCTTCAACGGCACGCCTTATGCCCAACTACCAAATCAAATGATAATCAGTACTTCCCCGAAATGGCAACATTTTAGATCGATCATATATATCCATTTACCTTACAACGTGGCTTGATAAACAATTGCAACAACTGCTTCGAGTTGAAATGTATGTCATCCGGTAATAAATACCTGTGCCCACTCTTTTCCACGGCTTTGGGTAGATTAATCGATGTAGTAGCCGGAACGAATAGTCTGCTTCCGTCCGTATTATCACTATGGAAATCCACGAAAAAGGGTTCTTTCGCTGGGCGTCTTCTCGGCTGTCTGTCTTCTTGCTCATTTTCGCCGTCGCCGTCATTAGAATTACCAGTAACGTCTTCGCCATTACCGTTACCATTCCCACCACGCCCTCTCCCACCCGATCGGATCTTCCAATGCTCGGGCCCAGCCCAGTTTCGTAAGAATGCCGAATCAAAATATGAAAACATGTTGTCGTCAACGGCCATTCCCATTATGATATCTCTTTCAGTAAATACTGGTCGATTTCTGTTATTAGGTGTTGGGCTGGAAGGTGGAAATGCATCTGTCTCTGTTACAAGAAAGGGATTTTCTAGACTATCGTTAAATGCGTCGTCTAGTATGTCCGCGTCTGTAGTCATCATTGCGTCAATATCATCAGTGGTGTTGAACATGTTGAATTGTGGGGCCGAAGGCGAAGCAATGAAATGGGACGGAAGATTGGAAGTGTCAAACGTGGAGGAAGGGTGGAAGTTGAATGACTTTAACGTTGGGCAGATATCCTTGGCTGAGATGGTCCGCAGGTTGTCACGAAATTGTACTAAAGTATATTTGTGAACAGCATAAAAAAGTCATCAAGATGTGATCAATAATTTCAAGAAAATACATTTTGTCTCTCTCTTTTTGTAAATATGAGACTCACACACAAGTTTCGTCATATCCATCTCGATACCGGCACTCTCGCTGCCGTCATCAACGACCGCTTCACTAGTATCAAACACAATCCTTCCCTCGGCATCAACTGCCAATTGATTTAGCAACAGTCCGCGAGCGCCTCCTTCATCGAAATCGGCTGCCATTTTTTTCCATAGGGGATCGACTTGATATTCGAGATCCCAGTCTTTGACGCAGATGGCAGATGGATCTTTTGCTAGTGTCTGTTCTGTACGAGGCTTTCAGTCGGAATAAATAATGCAGTTAGAGTTTGGATACATAGCAATATCAAAGGGAGATGAGATGGAATTCATACCTTTTTGCGCCTTTGTTTCGTTTGAGCATCTTGATCTTCTTCGGCTTCCTCCGTCTGGTTAGAGTCTTCTTCATCTCGAAATCTATTTTCTGGTGGTATAAACAGCTTCATTAATACATGCATAATCTCACATGACATGAGTTGAAAGGTTTTTATCGTAACTCCAATTTATTCCCATTCATGTCTTCACATCCACGACATGCCCGTCCCCGCTTTCCTCTTTCCATCGTTGAAAAAAACTCACTTGTACTGTCAGCAAGCCCACTGAGCAGTCTTTCGGTCTCGGTTGCGACCGAATCTACACGCGAAGTATATATTTTTACACATCCATCTAGTGTACATGAAGCCTTTTGGAAGTTGATCGAGTCTCCGTCTTTTAGAAACGCCATCTCATGAAAGTAATCTATTAAAGCAAGCTTCCAGCTGTTTGAACGGTTGATTTTCTGTTATCAATTCAGAATTGCAACGGGAAAAGTTATAATTAGTGATAGATTGTACTTGATGGTATTGACGTTGAAAAAGTAAATGTACAGTATCTACTTGTTCAACCACTATTCATATTGTCAATTTGCGTGTTCTTGATACAGTCCTTGATGTTAAAACAAACTTACATTATCAGTAGCCATTTTTATCCATTCCTCGAAATTATTGTGCATCTGCTCAAGCGGAAGTCTGGGTTGAGGTGTAACGACTTCAATGTTTCTCGTGACAGTCTTCCTAGGCGTTGACAAGGGTGACGTAATAGATAGTCTTGAATTACTGTTTTCTTTACTTGGACCTCTGCTAGGAAGAACAGGGGTTTCGGTTAACGACTTTCGTTGATTGTCAATAAACGACCGCCGACGTGCTATCTTTTCGATTTCGGCATCATTTGGAAGTATGTTTAGTTCTCGTGAGCGTAAAGGTGAGCCAACTGAGTGACGTCGTGGTGAGCCGAGAGAACGTCGTTGGGGGGGTGTATGAAAGCCTGAAGGGGAGAAAGACATATCTAGAAAGTTACAAAATGATATGATATTAAAGATTAATTGTAAAAGTACGCGTTTAAATTTTGAGATCACATGTCTTAAATCTTTGATTTCGTAGAACATTGTTTTGTTCAATATTAATATCGTTTCCTTTTAGTCTGAAGCAATGTCTTATAGACCACGCGAAGTTGGAGATAGCTTGTAGTTCAAGAAGTGCATAGTGGTTTATTGACTTGTTTCAAATTAGATACAACTCTGTGATGAAATATATTATAACATTGATATTTTGCTCAATTTTCGTTTAATCTATTACTATTGAGATCGTTAGTATTAGAGGCATATTGACCTGCTTTCAGTATTATTGTCGTCATTTTTTACGAAGCTTACGATAGACATCTCCCCTTGTTTTCAATGCAAATGTGTTGTTTGGTTCAATCTCTAACGATTTATTGAGATCAACCAGTGCATTGTCATCAAGCAGCTTTAGAGGTCCACCTTAGTTGCGCCTAATAAAGGACACGAAACCAGTGCATTGTCATTTCCAGGACACGAAACCAGTGCATTTCATATTGTTTAACTATGTGATAGACTTCTCCCCTTACTCTCAATGCAAGCGCGTCGTTTGGTTCAATCTCCAACGATTTATTGAGATCAACCAGTGCAGTGTCATAATAAAGGACACGAAACCAGTGCAGTGTCATAATAAAGGACACGAAACCAGTGCAGTGTCATATTGTTTAAGCATGCAATAGGCTTCTCCCCTTCCTCTCAATGCAAATGCGTCGTTTGGTTTAATCTCCAACGATTTATTGAGATCAACCAGTGCGTTGTCATATTGTTTAAGCATACAATAGACTTCTCCCTTTTTATTCAATGCAAATGCATTATCTGATTCAATCTCCAACAATTTATTAAAATCTGCCAGTGCATTGTCATATTGTTTAACTATGTGATAGACTTCTCCCCTTCCTCTCAATGCAAGTGTGTTGTTTGGTTCAATATTCAACAATTTATTGAGATCAACCAGTGTATTATCATATTGTTTAAGCATATGATAGACTTCTCCTCTTATTCTCAATGCAAATGCATTATTTGGTTCAATTTCCAATGACTTATGCCAATGCATTTTCATATTGTTTAAGCATGTGATACACATCACCTCTTATTCTCAATGCAAATACATTATTTTGTTCAATCTCCAACAATTTATTGAGATCAGTGTATTATCATTCCACCTTAGTTGCGCCTAATAAAGGACACAAAACCTGTGTATTATCATATTGTTTAAGCATATGATAGACTTCTCCTCTTATTCTCAATGCATATACAGTGTGTAACAAAAGTTTTTGGAATTTTTTATTTACTTGTTACTCAAAAACTACTGCATAAAAATGAACGGAAAATATATCAAAATAAAGCTCATAATCCAAAGATTTTATCAATATAAAATTAGTAACTTATTCTTTCACCATTGTTTTCTATTATCATCTCACCTCACATCTCCTTCTCATCAATCTAATACAGTTAATTAGAACACTATTCAGAATTCTATCACATTCTTCTGCCATATACTGCTCTAATTTATAATTCTAAAAGATTTTTAGGCATGCGCATTTTTACACTTCTTTTGACAATTGCCCAAAGATTTTTGATTGAGTTCAAGTCTGGACTATTGGAAGGCCAGTCCAGAACTTCCAGAAAATTTTTGCTAAGAAATGCCTGAGCAACCTGACTTGTATGCTTTGGGTCATTATCTTGCTGGAAGCACCAAATGTTTCTAAAAAGTCAGTTAATTTCTTGCTTATGATTGCACAAAATATCAATGTAAAACTTCACATTCATGATGTTTCTAAAACAAAATAGAGAAGTTTTCCATGTATTAGTATACAAATCCTCCCCATGCAAAGATTTTAGTGTGATCTTTGGGAACCTGCTGTACTGGCCATTCACCCTTATACCATTGAGTTATTGTATTTCTGAATAACTGAAAGGCAGTTTCATCAGAAAACAATGTAGTTGCCCAATTATCATTGAGATGTCTGGTCACCCAACTAACATGAGCTTCTTTATGAGCAACAGTAAGCATAGGTGTCTTTAAGGGCAGACTGTTTTTGTAACCCAATCTTGCCAAATGTCTTGAAATTGTCATGTGAGATACCTTACTGACATTGTTTGTCAATTTAATCACCAAATTTCTTGTAGACAGTTTTGGATTATGATGCAAATATTGAGCTATTGCTCTTGATTCATGCACAGTAACTTATAACTTTTTTGGGGTGACCACTTGCTAACTTTCTTGAATTGTCCCCTTTTTCATTCAGTATCAGTTTTTTTAGATTATAATAGATAGTTGACAATGTGATGCCAGTTCTAGAATGTATTTCTTTTGCAGAAGTGATTCCATTCAGCCACAATTGTAATATAATTTTTCTTTGAGTTTCTTTATCAGAAGACATTGTTGTAAAAGCAATCTCTCAACAAAAACAAAACAAACCATTATTTAAAACTTTATTTGTTTACAGTTTAGGACACATTGTTTACATGTTTAAAATATGACGCGTATTGCTTTTATTTTGGAAAAGTTATTGACAATTGAAGTATGTAAAAAAAATTCCAAAAACTTTTGTTACACACTGTATGTCTTTTGGTTCAATTTCCAATGATTTATTGAGATCAGCCAGTCATTATCATATCTTAGTTGCACCTAATAAAGGACACAAAACCAGTCATTATCATATTGTTTAAGCATGTAATAGACTTCTCCTCTTACTCTCAATGTATATATGTCTTTTGGTTCAATTTCCAATGATTTATTGAGATCAACAAATGCACTATCATGTTGTTCAAGCATTTGTATTTGATAGACTTGTCCTCTTACTCTCAATGCAAATGCATTATCTGGTTCAATTTCCAATGACTGTTTAAGATTTTTAAGAGACTGTCTATACTCAGATTGCAACATATAATTGTTTCCACATATTAATATTGCCCAGGCTTTGGCATTTTTAGGATTATTCTTGATAGTCTTATTTATATAATCATGACACTTTTGGTAGTCTGAATTTTGCATATATGCATAAGCAAGATCACACTGAATACTAGATCTATTAGGATAATGTTCAAGTGCTCTTTCCAACCACAATTACAATATTGCCTCCTTGTATTTTTTGTTATTAAATGCTGTCTGGCCTTGTCTGTAAGTGAGATGTTGTCCTTTTGGTCTTTTAAGCTTTGCATAAGAGTTTTCTTAGGTTTCATTTTCAATAAATATAATAACTTTGTTTTCATAATAGAGTATTCCTCAGAATCACTATCTATATCATCCTGGTTTTCCACAGCTGCTGTAAAGTCTGATGTGTTGTCTTTTGGTTTAATGTGTCCAGTTTCAACAAACTTTTCATACAATGCTTATAAATGGGTAAACTTTCTAGTGATTTAGTACCCTGCATCCTGATTTTTTCATTACAGTAAAAACATTTTAATGATAAATAATTTAATTTCCTGAATTATTCTAATGCTGAGTAGCTGATTTTGTGTCCACATCATAGTATTCTAAAATCATCTGTAACTCTCTGTGTAAAGGGGCATGTGAGATGGTCAGCCACCATATCCAAAATTAAAATCAACAACTCATCTGGATTAGAATCAAGCAACTCCTCAGGATTCTGTTCCATTACAGTGTTTTGTGTTAACATTATTGATGTTTCTATATCTACTGCAGGTTTAATAAACTTATATTTTAGATTAATGTATGTGACCACATCTTGAAGCTTGCTTTTACTAGCTTCATCCAATTCTCCAACATGTTCAATATGTTGGCACAAATCTACTTGGACAACTGAAAAAGTATCTGGATCTCTTTTGTAGATATAGAGTGTTGTCAAGACTTCTATTGCTTTAAATTGAATATTTTCTGTCAATACAAGGTCAAGTGTCAATACTAATACTGCAAGGTAATAGCAGTGAGCCAAAATGCTAGTATTTTTTGTGGATATTATGAGTTTCTGAGTAATTTCTAGTATACCATACAATAAAGAATATGGATATGATACAGGGGCATAACCACCAATATGGACCAGGGTATGCTTCAGATCTGACTTGAAAGTATCCACATCTGACTCTGATTTTACAGCAGCTTTAGCCCATTCCTGATCTCCAAATCTTTAATAATCATCAGTTCACCTTTGAAAACTAAATCCTTATTGATTGGTATATCTGACCATTCAACAAATGCTTGATATGTGCTGTATAAAT